TTCACCAAGCAAAATTAAATCGCGATCAGAAGAGAGTTAGTACACATTGGGGTATCTGAGTACGGATTTTGCTCTTGGGGTCTTTCATGGATAGCCTTGTAATTAACCAATTGTATTCTGCTCCCACGGACAATTCTTCTTTCTTTCAATCTTGTTACGTGGCCATGTTTCATGCGTTTGCCTTTATTTTTTTTAACTCAGCCGTTGCAGAAGTCACTTGTCAGGGTATATTGTTTTACAGTAAAAATATGTGGTCTTATTCTTCATGATTCCCATATGGTTCACCCCGTACACTCATCCTACTCATTCGCAATAATGAAGACTTCCCTATCTTTCAACACACCCTAGTCGATTCACTCGAGGCGAACGTGGTCGCCTTTGTGCAGGAAACCAAAATGATGATATGCAATGGCAAACACGGAAAAGTGATTCATCTCTATCCAACCAGCAGCTGCGGTGGTAGATTGATCTGCTTTGCCTCATTAAATGATTAATTATACAAGGCGTTCAGTTCCCTCTGCGGATTATCAGTGTAGTCCGTGGAGTCTGTTTTGAAATCCACTTTTCAAGACATTAATATCAAGTTCTTTCGCTAACGGACGCAGTCACCGTTTTTCCTTCTAGGTCGATATTGTCAATCCGTTAATTACAAATAGCCTACGTAAGAGCAATAGATTATCCTGCTGATGTATTGCAAATAAGAGAGTTTGCGGATTGATTTTTGGAGCAGGCCTAACCTTTACAAATTCCATTTAGCTAAGAAATGTGATCCGATTCTCTCTGCTGGTAGAACGTCTTCATGTAGACTCCTAGGGCATATGAACTTTAAGTTCTCTTCTTTCTCGGTGCATTCGGACAATTCCTTCACTGTCCGATTTATGTTCCATGAACTCTTCACACCTAATGGTTGTGTTCAAACGAAATGTGTTTTGCAACAGTGCTAGGGCTTACTTATGTCAGTCACTTAAAATGAAGTACAATGTATGACGTAGTCTCATAATGACTTTTCTATTCCGCGCATAAATTACCATTAATATCAGTTTTGGCCTAATGGGTAAAGCCAAATAGCGATTATTTTATAGAACATATCCCAAACTTGAAAAACTTTCTGCTTCATGGAAGCAATCATTGCAAATCGATTCAAACTAAAAGCTGGGCCCTCAAAGGGGCTTGGAATGTTGGGATTTTTCAATGCTTCCATTGTGGCAGCATAATTTGTGTATTAAGCATCATCCGAGCAGCTGCAAAATCGACATTGGTAAATGCAAATTTATCCATTGCCTCACTACTTGTGTGAGTAATCTGAA